AAACCTGAGCCCAGCCGGCATCCTTCTGACATTTTCAGGAAAGAGGGCCCTCTGTCTTCCCGAAATCAGACCTCTGCCCTCCACGCCTTAGGTGCCCTCGCTCCGACTTCTGCGGCGGCAGCACTTCGGACAATGCAGCTTTGTTCGCTCACCTTACGGGAATTGCCCAAAGCCAGCTATGAGTTGCAACCCCCCCCCCGAATATTATCTATTCCTTTTCTATTAGGGCAGTGGTTCTCAACCTTTTTAATGCTGCGACCCCAACCGGTCGTAAGTCGAGGACTAAACCGGTCGTAAGTCGAGGACTAAACCGGTCGTAAGTCGAGGACTAAACCGGTCGTAAGTCGAGGACTACCCAACCGGTTGTAAGTCGAGGACTTTCCCTGCCCGGGAGCGCCACGCATGCGTGGTTCCGCCCCCTGCACCGGCCGAGGCTTAGCTGGCAAGCGGCAGAGACGGAGCAGGCCGACCACCAGCTGGCCCAGCTCAAGGGAGGTAAGGCACCCGCCGGAAAAGGGGAAAAAAATGGCGGACAGCCTTGCTTGGCGACCCCCGTGAAATGGTCAATCGACCCCAAATGGGGTCCCGACCCACAGGTTGAGAACCACTGTATTAGGGGATAACTGATCATTCTATCCCAGCTCATTCCTGAGCAATGGCTGAGGGGGCCGGGGCCAGAGTTGGAGCCATCCAACAATATTAAAGGGGTTTCACATGACACCATTTTGGGGGCTATAAAGACGCTTTTAAAAGTGGGTTAAGCCCAAGCCCCCCCTCCCTCTTTTCCCTCAGCTTTGAAAGGGGCAAGAAACGGCACTTCCAGTATTTGGATGTTTGGAGGCCTTGCACAAAATGGTCTCCCTACCTCCCTCTCCCCCCCCCCCGCAGATGGCCAGTAAAATTGCAGGGGGGCGGGTTGTATGCAGAAGTGCCCAATTTCACAAGGAGGGATAAGTGGTGTAAGTCTTGGGCTTCTTCCTTGGGTTTTTCAGCTAAGGCTGCTTGAGGCTCAGGGCTGGCCTGGGATGCCGGTCAACTAGTGCCAGCCCAATTCAGGAGGCAGCTGATTCAATGACCTCTGAGGATTTCAAGCACTTCTTGAAAAATTTCCTTTAGACCCGGGGTGTCCAACCTTAGGAACTTTGAGACTGGAGGACCTCAACTTCCAGAATTCTCCAGCCAGCATGGGTGGCTGGAGAATTCTGGAAGCTGAAGTCCTCCAGTCTTAAAGTTGCCAAGGTTGGACAAACCTGCTTTAGAACAAGTGACAGCAAGCCCTGGAGAGAGTTAAAAGTGCCACACAAACTCAGAAAAGAGAAAGAGGAAATAAAAACCACCAACTAGTTGGGCTTCTAGCAGTAGCTTGCTAAATAAGCCCTGATGCAACCTGGGCTTCATGCGCTGGTCTTAAGAACACACTTCTGACATTCATATTGCTCCTGTGCGTGAAGAGCCGTTTTGCTTTGAGAGAGAACCAAAAATCTCTCCACCAGCCTACTAAGGCTGCATTATACCTATTTTAATAGTGGGGGGGAGGGGTTGCACACAGCCTGGAGAGGGTTCAGCAACTGAGGCAAGCCGTAACTGATTAATGGAGTGATGAATTTTTGGAGAAGGAAACTGGTTGCCTAATGCCCTTCAGCATTGGGAGACTAGCCTTCCCCTGCACTCAGAGCTGCCTGGCAAGAGAGAGGGCTTTGCCCCAAAGAGCAGCCCGCATGCTGAGAGAAGGAGAGGATGGATGGATGGATGGATGGATGG